TATATTTCAACATATGTTTATAACTGAAATACACTGACAGAAATGGAAAATATTACAACATTGAAAAGTTTCCAAGTTTCACAAGAGTCATTCAAATTCATACTGAATGCATCAACTCATACTGAATGCATCAATTGGTCAAATTGTGGTAATGACAAAGTCTCAAAGGCAATGAATGCAAAATACAGGAAAATTTATATTAAATAGATATCATTTCTGCAACATAGCAAATAATTTCATTTATGAAAATGTAAGTGAAATTGTACTTCTGTTTTTCAAGTTTTTAATGGAGAGATATGCTACAGCATAAAGTTAGAACTCCTTATGAACACTTGTCAGATTGACAAAGGTTGAAATATTGAGATTCTGCTACAATTCATCTCATAGAGTAAGCTACATTACAATGGGTGTTTCTCAGAACAGCTGAATGATGGAATGAGGAAGTCACACACATGAACAGATCCAGCACAGGATCTATTAGAAGGACAATACATAAAGATAATACAATTAATTCTGTAGTTTTGCAAATTAATGAATGACTACAGCAGAAATCTGATCAATTATTAGAAGTATCAACAAGCAGTCTGTTCAAATTCAAATGTGGAAACAGACTGCATGAGGTTGGTCTAAGAACATGAGTTCCCAGATAATGTTTACATTTAACATAATATTATTGTCAACAGATTTGTTTTTTGTACAGCAATGAACTGGCCTACTGACCAGCAAAGTTTAGTGTTTCAGTGATGAGTTTGGGACAAATTGATCAACATCAACATGTCTGGAAAAGGACTGGAGGAAGGGCTCATCCACGTTTAACTACTGAGATGCATACACCTGCAACATCTGAAATCATGATTTAGGGAGCACTAATATATTGATTGTTACAAAGAATGCTCTACAATATAATTCAAGAGAATAAATTTGGTGGTTATATTCTTTATGTCTACAATTAAAAATGTTGTTTTCAAAATGATAATGCTCAAGTCCCTATAACTGCCATTACAAGACTAGCCTTAAGAAATGATGAAACAGTAGAATGACAGCAAGATCTCCACCTGTCTCTAATTGAGCATATCTGGGATGTAATGGGAGGCTTATTCAATTTTAAATTATTGAGAAACTGACTGAGCAAGTAATGTGTAGAAAGACTTTACTCAAGATTCCATGCAAAGACTTTTGTATTCTTGCTAATATAGAATCAGAGTACTGCATCTGCAATCATGATAGTCATACTAATTAATTTTTGTAATTTGCAACTCTAAATGCTTTAATCATTTTTTATTTGATACATTACACATCCACCAAATTACATGATAAAATTAAAATCTCTCATAGTATAACAATTTCCATTCCCACCAATATAGTGTAAGTACAATTTTGTTCATTACACAAGCACTTCTTAATTTACAATAGAGATAAAATATGCCTGTATAGCTAATTTGTTTCTTACATGCTTTTTACTTTCCTGGCTGTGTTATATATAACAGAGAAAAAGTATGGTCATCAGTCAAAAAAATGACTCCCCCATATTTTTACATTTTTGGACTCAGGACCTTAAAACTTCGAGAAATGTAAAAAAATTTAGAGGGAGATTTCTACATGTGTGGATGTTAGTGTGGGGGGCATGATTTTGTTCATCCTCTTTGAAGCTTAATAACTCCTGTGCTTTTTGTCAAAAATTTCTGAAATTTTGCAAGAAGGTTTGTTTATTAGTGAGATTGATGCTATTAAATTTTGGTGGTTAAAGGTCAACAGGATGGGGGTGAAAGGGGTTCATGTGTCATATCTTGAGTACTGTCAGACTTAAGGATGATTTTACTCATTATTAGCACTTATAATTTTTTATAAAACCCATCCCTACACTCAAAATTAAATTTTTTGCCATTTTATAATAGTTAAAAATATAAAAAGTTTTCAAGTAAAGTATCATAACAGATGTGTGAGATTAGCAGTGGGCCACTGGGCTCTCCCCAAATGACTACTTACTCTGCAACAGATTGGCAAAACCCGTTCTCAGCTTGTCGGATGGCTAGGAGGGCAAAAAAAAAAAAATTGAGTGGGGAGTGCGTCGGTAAGTCGGCAGGTGTCCTTCAGAGACAGGAGACAGGTTTAAAACTAAACAAGCATTTATTTATATAACTAAGCTAGGATACATAGGTTAAATGCGATACTAAACAAGCATTTATTTATATAACTAAGCTAAAACTAAACAAGCATTTATTTATATAACTAAGCTAGGATACATAGGTTAAATGCGATTAAATAAGTTCACTATAAAAAAGGGATGCTCTAATAGCTTTACCGGCTAGTCTGAGAGAGAGTTCACAAAGCTCTAAAAGTACAAATACCTCTATGTGGATATGTCTAATATGTGTTCGTTGAATAGGTTCGTTAATGGCGATGGAAGTTCAAATGGCTGTGGTTGGTCGTATATCCTTTCGGTCCGGACTATGGAGACAAATATGGCACATCTACCAAGTATAACTTCTGAGGGATTGCGCGGAGCTTCCGGGGATTCGAGCTTTTATATGTTATTCGTGGAAAATGAGTCACGTGATCGACTTCTGTTGACACTTATGGTGCATTCCGATCAACTAAGTGTCAACTTTCCCACCTTAATGTGAAAACAATCGGTGACCTCCGATATACTTCTCACCGAGAGTGGTTTTTTCATCGGAGTTATTTACAAATATTTTTCTGACATTGATGTAAAAATCGCAGATTTCACAGATGGCATCACCAAATGTTGTAGGGGTAGTTAAGCAACTCACTGCTGAATTTTTTTTTATTGTATTGAACATCTTTAACTACTTAAGAAAGCATAAACTTGAAAAAATTATCAAAATTTAAAAGACAACATATTGCTCATTTATTTACTGCTAATAAGCTTTTACTATCTGATTCATAGTCCTAATTTTCAAATCCAAATTCAGATAAAATAGAAGGAAGGTGATTTGATAATGAACAACTTTTTTAAAATACAGGAAGATTACAAGATTTTCTAGAAAACTTTATATTTTCAATATGAAGATTTTTTAATGCAAAGTTATTTTTTCCACCAAAAATGTCACTGTAACATGTTAGATTAGTATTCTCAAAATGTAGGTCATGACTCATTGCTAAGCTGTGAACCAATTTTCATACATGCTATGGTCAATTTCTGTGTACAAAACTGCCTACAGCACGTGAAATATCATTCATATTACAGCATATCAGCAGAGATAGTCTTGTTGTGCCTTTCTTGTTAGGCTGTTTAATGAAAACAATGCCAATGCTGTAGTATTATCAATTAATTAAAAATCTAGCCAAAAAATAGGCTGGAAAAAATGTAGTATTGTTCAATTGTTTGTTTGATTTAGTTTTTCTAGATTTTGATATATTTCTACAATTCTTCTATAAAGTAAAATGTTAAAATTGAGAATATCTGTTGCAATCTTCAAATATAGAAAAATGCTATGTGTAGTCACTATATCACTGGGTCAGCAGTGAACCATACTTAAAATGGTTTATTATTATGGGAAATAGATCAATTTTTTGTAAAATTATATTCAATAATACATTTCAGAAAAAAGAAAATAATTAAGTTAAAAAAATACCACATTCACTTCCATTAAAGCTAAGAAGGTCATGAAAATTTGTCATTCTAAAAAGTTTAGGAATCACTGTGCTATACAGTTACCATGCATTAAAGGATGTTCATAAACTGAGAAGTACCTGTATTTAGTAATCATGTTAGTATATTTTCAAATCATAAAACTGACTTACTTGTGCAATTCCCAAAGCTTGTCCTGAAATACCAATTCTTCCTCCATCTAAAGTTGCCTATTAAAACATATTAGAAGTAATTGAATACATTTACATAATTTATCAAAGTAATTTATTATGATTAAGAATTAATCTTTTAATAAGATGATAGCAATCTCTGAAATATAATAGATGTTTTAAAATACCATAGCAATCTTGAAACCTTCACCCATCTGACCAAGAAGATTTTCTTTAGGAATTTCACAATCTTCAAAAATTAAATTACAAGTTGAAGATCCTCTTATTCCAAGCTTGTCTTCTTTTTTTCCAAGTGAAAGACCTTTAGTTGGCATTGGTACTATAAAAGCACTAATTCCTTTATGTTTTTTAGATTTATCAGTAGTTGCAAATACCTATTAGAAATAATAAAAATAAAAGGATGATGATAATACTAAATTTACATATTTTTCACTTAAAGTAATATAATCTTTACAACAACTCCTTTTCCTTCAAAAGCATTGGTTATCCAAGCCTTTGTTCCATTGAGAATCCATCTGTCACCCTTCAGTTGTGCTGTTGTTGATGCAGCCCCTGCATCACTGCCATTTCCTATTCATTATTCAAATATTTTGTCTTTATTTCTTATTTGATAATAGAAAAAGACTAAGACAGTTACCTGGTTCACTAAGTGCAAAACAACCAATCTGATCTCCAGACAAAAATGGTCGAAGATACTTTTCTTTCTGTTCTTTATTTCCATAATTCATAATGGGACTTACATAGAGTGACTATTAAAATAATTTGGTCATTAAAATTTCAATTAGGTACTGTTTTGACTAGTTTTTAATTTAAGGAGTGTAATTACATTGTGAGCACTCATAATAACTCCGGTGCTGGCACAACCACGACTGATTTCTTCCATAGCTACAGCATAAGCTAGATTATCCAGTCCTGTTCCTCCATCACTCTCAGGTACAGTTATACCCATAAGTCCAAGTTCTCCTAACTTTTTCACCTAAAAATATTTTTTAACTTAATAAAAAGTTAAAATAATTCTGTCAAATTTTAAAATCTTGATATTGGATTCATTTCCTAATTTAAACATTTATGAATGAAAAAATTTGATTTAATTACAGTATTTGTAAAATAAGCATTATAAGTACTTTATAAAAGTAGAATCATCATCTAACAATAAAAATATAAAGATGCATTATTTTCAAATTAGCAAATATTAATATATACCAGTAAATAGATTAATATAAAAGGTGCCCCACATCATCCCAGCAGATGCTTTCCAACCTTCATGATCTGTTGATGCTGCTATTGCTGCACTTATTAGAAGATTATTATTATTCTTGTTACCATCAACACAAGTGCTTGTAAATATTGAGTTAAACACCATTAGTTTGGCATTATGTGCAGCTGGTTCTCATGTGCTAAGTTCACACATGTGCTTAACATGGTCAGGAAATCTCTATTTCCAAGCACGACACTATCCAACAAGAGGGAGATGTCAGTAGTTCAAATGGCATTACTGTACCTCAGACACCTTTCCATACATATTTGCCACATATTCAGGCAACTTAATCTTCTCCTGTCCCTATCTCCACTACCAAATTTGTGCAAACTCATCTGTAATGAACAGGATAAATTCTCCATCTTTGAAAAATCGGGAATATATGCTATACTGTTAGAGAATCCCATAACTGGGATGAATACGAGGTACATTGGGGCAATAACAAGAATGCTTGCTAGCTGCCTAGCTGAGCACCAGGATGATGTGGTGAAAGGAAAGTACACCATGGAGCTCTCAGGAAAGGTGCTCAAATAGAGCTACATCCCATTATGGGCTCAAGCAACGTTGCTCAGAGACTGGAGTGACCAGAAACTTGTCTTTATATGGGAAGCTCTCCTCACAACAACCTTGGAATCATGCAAACTCCCACCCTTGACCTGCCCAACATATGGGTCATCCTGTACAAATAGTTAAACAGTGATTTACAATGACTGTCATACCGTTAACATGGATCTGCATCCACTCATGCACCGCATCACATCATAACATTGAATGTAATCGAAGTTTGAAGTTTGTAACTGCTTTTAATTCTAAAAAGTTTTTAAAAGTTTTAATTTAAATAATATGTTCCATCTCACGTTAGAACATTTGTGTTTGTTTTTAAATATTCACTTACCTGAAGACAACAATCAGATTCGTTGGAAGTGCTAGCAGTATAAAAAGGCTGTTAATAATGCCTTACTTAAAGTGTTTTTCCTTCCTGATATTCAACATTTGGTGTGAAGATCAAGCTGTATTGTATTAATACTAGAAAGATGCTGCTGGCAGTAACATAAGGGGTGCTGTTGTTTGCAGTAAATACTAAATATAAATCTTGGTGGTTTCCTTATTATGCAAAGATCCAGGAAGTTTATCCTAACATTATTTTCCTTTTCTAAGTGAATTAACACAAGATTTGCAAGAACTCGAAACAATCAGGAAGTCACTGAGTTCAGTCTTCTCTTGCCATAATATCAGAATATCATCTGCATATCTAAGACATGTTACTGGGTATTTGATTGTGTGCAGTTCATCAAAGACATAGGATTCAATAGATCTAAGCACTGTTTCTGCCGATATTGCTAACAAGTGATCCCATTGGTAATCGTAATTTCTGAAGATAGAATTTTCCATTGATGTGGAGTAATTTGGGAAAAAAATAAGGTTTAGAATCTGCTTAATTGCTAACAACTCCTTTAACTGAATTTCTGATCTTAGCATAACTTCTTTTGCTCTCCATATCATCTAACAAGGCAATAGCCTTGTTAGATGATATGGAGAGGTATAGCAATATGACAACTGCTTTATAAAATTTGTAAGCCATTGAAGATGTAGTAGAAAACAGAACCTCAAGCTTTTGTTTTGAATCCAGTCCAGAACTGACAATTCTCAGATATAATCCTGAAATTTGACATACAGTAAAACCTGTTCAAAACAAAATAAAATGGAAACCTGCCTAAATGGAAAAAATTCTTTAGAATGCAGTGATTTTGGTGATAAAAAAAATCAATTTGAAACCTGTTTTTTATTAAAGTAAGAATTAGCATTTAGAAGGCATAGGGAATATAATAACACAGGTAATTATGTTAAACTTATTTATTAATTATGTCAGATAATCAATTTAAAATACATTTAGAGAAGTCTACAGTTTTTACTGGTTTATCAAACAAATGAATACAAATGGACCCTAGATAATCACTGACGAGCAATTAACTGATTGCTCCTGGAAGTTGGCTTCTTACAGAAACACAGCTTCCCTATCATCAAATGTCACAGCATGCCACTGTTGAGAGATAAAGAATTTATAAGACAAACAGAAATCATTGAAGGTGATTTTTTAAAACAAAAAAAAAAAAAAAAAATGAACAAACACCTAGATTTACAAAATATTTGAAGAATGCTACAGTTCCTGTAGAAAGATCTTGGTAAATGTTTTTACATAATGAATTACAGAAATTATTGGAAAATTTTAAACTTGTTTTAAAATCAATTAAAAAAATATATAAAATTCATATCACAGCAACTTAATATTTCAATAAATATTAATATTTGGGTAATTAGATTAATATACAGTGTATAAAATCTTCATTTTATACACTGTACACCACAACTATATGATTTACAACATCCATTATGATGACAGGAACAATAAATTATTTTTCATCTGCATGGAATGAAAACTGAACTAACTAAAAACATTGAAATTTCATACTGTGATTTTGTTTTTAATAATCAGGTTACACAGAATCAAATCAAACCTTCTCTTCAGGATACATATGCTCTTTATCTACTTTTCCAGCAATTGGCATTAATTCTTTTTCTGCAAATTCTCGACATGTCTTTCTCAACATTTGATGAGTCTCAGGCAACTGTGTTAAAATGCTCATGTGATTTTTACCAAATACATATTTTGAAGAAGAACCTAAAAATTTAAAATCAAGTATTTTAAAATTAACTCAAGAAATAGAGTAAAATATGAATTAAATATAAAAAGAATAAATCTATACAGAACAATAAATTAGAAACTCCTGTAAGGCTTGGTAACATTTTGATATTTTTTTTTACAAGAATAAAATACAATATATCTTTTTAATTAAGGAAACCAAAAGAAAATTAATAGAGAAATGTTTTCAAACCAACTTCAACTCACAGTAATGTTTGAAAACAAATGCAGGATAAACATGGGAACATTGCACATATCCTGCATTTGTTTTTGAATGTTACTGAGCTGAAGGTGGTCCAAATTAAGGTCTGAAAACATTTCTTCATGAATTATTTTAGTTTCTTTAAATAGTTGTATTTTATTTTTATAAATGACAATAAATTATTTTTCTTCAGAATATATTTTTAAATTCTGAATTCTACAGCCAGTTATATCAAAAATAAGCATAAAATTAATAACAATTAAATCATTATTAGTTTTTTAAAATAATTCAAAATATCAAGTAAAATGTCAAGAGAAATCTCACTTCTAATTACAAAACAAAATGATAGAAGCTTAATAGTGACAATAATTTATTTTCAAAATCCGATCTCATAAATTCTTAACTAGCATTAGTAAGAGCAGCAACTTTTCAAGTTGCTTCAAAAGATTAATATTGTATACGTTATAATGGCTTAAGAAATCTGATAGGCTTATTAACAGGACAAGATAATTTGGATTACTTCCCTTTAGTTATTGGAATTTTTGTTATACAGGCATACCCGAAGTTACATACATAATGCGTACCATCAAATACTGGTTGTATCACGAATTACCATTTCCCATACATTTACATACATTTTATTTTAATTCGTACATATGTCTTAAATTGAATTTTAAATAAATATATATAACATCAATAAACAAATAAAACACAACTAAATGCTTGGATGTAACTTACATATATGTATTTTACAACAGATTTACATAATTTTGCATATTAATAGAAGACACAGTTATATACATATTTTTATTTCAATGGCGATTTAATAACTCCTGTGCTTTTTGTCAAAAATTTCTGAAATTTTGCAGGGAGGTTTCTTTATTAGGGAGATTGATGCTATTAAATTTTGGTGATTAAAGGTCGAGGGAGTGGGGAGATAATAGGGGTCGTGTGTATCTCCAGTAGGATCAAAATTTAATGATGATTTTACTTGTTATTGGCATTTACAATTTTTTTTATAAAATTCATCCCTACCCTCAAAATTTAGCTTTTTGCCATTTTATAATAGTTAAAAATATATAATTTTTTAAAATAAAATATCGTAACAGATGACACCACCAAATGTTATCCAGAAAGTTAAGCAATGCATTGCTAGATTGTTATCTTTTTCATCTATCTACTTGACATATTGTTAATTAACTTAATTACTTTGTAACATACTGTTAATTAATTACCAACTAACTTAAAATACAGTAGAGCGTCATTTATATGAATCAATTGGGAACTGGGGTTGTTCGGATAACTGATTATGTACGAAAAAAATATTAACCTATCCCATGTTGAAATTTTTCTCCGCTGCATGTCGCTTCACGTTGAATTTTTGTCGATGTTAAGCCTAACGTAAACTTTTTAAAATAATAATCGTGGCTATTGTATCGTTAAAAATTATTTTTTTATTTTGTACAAACAAAATAAATATATTGAAAAATATAAAAACCAAAAAATATATACTTTAGAAATTGATCTAGTATCAAAAACATTCGATTCAGCACCACACACAGTCCTCAGAAAAACACCACACAAAAGTGCCAGTGCTACCAGCTAAAACACATACCAACAAAAAAAATATTGGAGTAGCCCAAGATATAGCCAAAGATTGCAGTGCCACAGCACTAGCGAAAATTTAAATTTGCCGACTGGAATTCTTTCAGATAAACGACAATCTACTGTATTTTCTTTATATCAACTAAGATCTTGGAATGCTATCATAAAAATGAACTTATAATAGCCAATAACAAATTAGCTATATTTATCTCTATAATGGTGATTTATATCCCTGGTATTTCTATCAAATAATCTATACAGTGGGTGATTGGTTAACGAACATAATCCATTCCAAGACCTTGTTTGCTATCCGAATTGTTCGTTAACTGATTATTGATTTACCATAGGTTTTAATGGGAATTTAATTAATTCATTCTGGAGGTCCCCCAAAATAAAAAATATACACTTTCTTACTACATTTATTTATATGTAATAATAAAAATACATATATACACAGTCTTGCGTTTTTATTAGTCATGTTTTTTCCTTTTGAAAGGGTTAAAGAATCTGTCTAATGTCGATTGTTTTTCTCTCTTCTTCAGGATTTTTCATAAGTAATTAATAGCATTGCAATTGTAGAAATCCCCAAGCCTCAACCTGGTTTGGATGCCATTCTAAGACCGTTGTTCTGACATCCTCTCACTTCTACAAAAAATCTTTAATAACAGATATCGGCATTAATCCTCTCTTTCAGAGGAAAACATATCTTGCCGAGTTTCTTGGTGTTCTTCATTCAAGAGTTCTTGGCGTTCTTCTGTCGTCAGATCCGTTTCAGGTTCCATTATGAACTTTTCGATGTTCTTTATTTCTCAGACGTGACTTTTGTTACTCCTTTACCTGCTCGAGTCTTCCTGATTATACAGTATTTTTCCTAAATAAGATTGAACTACGGCCTACTGTAGACCTATTCACGCCATACTGCCCAGCAACATTAGGCATCTTCTGCCCACTTTCTACCTTTGCTATTATACTC